TCATAGGAGCAAAAGTTTATATCACAAGTTGGGACAAGCTTCAGAGTCAAGTCCAGAGTCCGCAGATATCAGATCACATCCACGTCCACTGAAGACAAGACTAACTTTAAATTGACAATTCATGCTGGTGGAAATAATAGTCAATACTAACGATAATAATAACTAATAATCTGATGCTGTGAGGCTACAAAATGTACTAACATCATTCAAAATACGTATGTTATACTTCTATCTATCCAGCTCACCCATAATGATTTCAGGATTCCCACTACACAGCGTCATCATCCTCTTATCATGTTTCTCATTAGTTTAAGTTGATTATAATGATCTGTCAGTGGATAATTAAAATGTTAAATCCATCATTGTTAAATTGAGCTAATTAGGAATTAGCAGAGAAGGATTATTGTAACATGAACCAACAACACCCAGTTACAGTCTTCACTTCATGAGATGTTGAGCCTCCAGTAATTGGCTGCAGGATCTCCACAAGCTAATTGGTGCTACTGACCTCAACCACAGAGAAGTTCTCCACTAACATTAACTAACATTATTATTATTAAAGCAATCAACGGATTAGTCTGTGCTGCTCAGTTCATTAACACAAAGCCAGTTATTCCAGTTATTACTTTATCATTCAGTTATAATGTCGACCAACTTTTTATCATCGTGTCTGAATCTTTGTTTCACCGTGAAACTGTGAATGACCCAGATTCTACAGGTCGATGGAGATACAAATAATTTAATGATCCCACGTTTACAAAGAGCAGAGCTTGGAAAGATTTACAGAAGAGACACAGCTGTGTGTGTGTGTGTGTGTGTGTATGTTTGGACAGATCTCAGGGTTTTACAGATGAGATAAATACTGTTTTTAAGCTTTTAAATCTGGACTGGAAGAATGAATTCATTATATAATCAATCTATATATATATACAGTATATATTGATTATCAGCACTGAGGTTTACTGGTGTGTTCATGTGTGTGATTTTACCCACATACAGTCACTGTCAAAATTATTGGCACATCTGAATTTTAAGTTCAGAATTTTAAATATCTTCAGATGCAAATGAACCAGAATATTTAATAAAATAAGACAAAAAAATGTTTTCATATTGTGAAATAAAAAATACAGAAATGAACTACAATTGACACAATTATAATATATTAACCCTCTTGATTAATTTAAATTAGTTCCTCAAACAAAATAATAAATGAGACCCACCTGTGTTTAAAACTACCTGCAGGTGCAAGAAGCTTCTAGATGCTTCTAGGAACGTTCAGAGGCGCCACTGTTGCCAAAGGTTCAGTAACCTGGTGAAGGCCTCCAGTAACTGGGACAGTTTGTGTTTTATTTCACTATTATGTGTTATTTTTTTCTTTTGTTCAGGGACCTTGAAACTTTTATTAAAATATTCTGATTATACAAAACTGGTTGATCTGTATTTATTCTCTGAAGATATTCAGTGTCACTAAGTTTGACCAGGACTGTAACAGAATATTATACAGGAGCAGTGAGAGAGGGGAACATTTTACATTTACCATCAGTTTCATAATCAGTCAGTTCTCTCCCTCCCTCACTTCTTTCCTTTCTCTCTGTTTCTTTCCGACCGAATGAGAAGAGAGAAGAACCGGGGAACAAGCTGAGGGATGATTGAGGGAATCAGCTGGAGAATTAGAGAGAAACTAGACAAGGAAGGAAAATGAAGTGGAAGAAATGAAGTGAGAGGAAAAAGACGAGACGTTAGTGAGGATTTCCAGTTTGATTGCAGCAGAACCAGTTATTGATCATGGTGTTCTCCAGAAGCAGGATCACAGAGGAGCTGCACTGCAGTGAATATAACATACAGTTCTTACAGAGACAAGCAGCAGTTTCAGCTCTCATGTATTTACAGAATCAGCAGAAGGCCTCATTTATTAAATATGAAAACTTTACTGTATAAGCATCTCATATGAGCAGATACAATCACAGGATTCACAGCCTGGACGAGATAAAAGTTCCTTTTAGATTGTGAGAGAATCTGAAATGATGATTTGAAGAAATCAAATCTTTGACCTGTAATCAGCCACTGACTCATTTCTGTGAGCGACGCAGTTTCTTTGTCTTTCTCTCTTCTTCTAAACACTTGTTATATTCTGTATCATTATAATTAATATACGCCATTTTGTATAGCTTGACAATTGTAAAGACAAGAGGAGCATTCATTTGTTTGTTTTTTTTAATTAATTGATTGATTTTTCACTCCTTCATATTTTGAGTGAATGCAGCTGTTAAATGCTGAAGTATACAGAATATTATGCAAATGCTAAAGGTTGTATTTCATTATGTTAAAATGAAACTATGGTGGCAAAAAAAACAAAACAAACTCTGCCATTAATGAGTGGCTTTATTTTCTAAATGATCTCCAGCAGGAAACTGATGCTCAGCAGGAGGAAGCGAGAGGAGACGATGCACAAAGACAAACAGCAGGTCACATCTCCAGGTTTACCTACAGCGATGGATCACTGCTCACACTGTATCCTGTATGTCCATATATCCATGATGCAGTGTTGGGTTATTGTTGTGTCTATGTGGCCTGAGGGTTGAATGTGCACTGAGCAGCAAAGGAGCACGAGGGGATTTATCTATAGAATCACAGCATCAGTATAAATGTGCGTCTGTGTGACGCCGCAGCCAGAGACAAACACAGTTTATTTTAACTGCAGATGAGACAGAGACAGAAACTGTGGACGGACAGACGGACGGACGAGTGTGGGAGGAAGTTTGGACGTATTATAGTTTCAGACGGACGAATATACTGAAGGTCTGAGACATATAGACTTTTCAGGAGAGGAAGGAGTGTCCTGTGAAGGAGAATATTGTAAATGATGATGTAAATATTTGATTTAATAATTTTATTACTATTGAAAACAGGAGAAAAGAAATTGATGATGTTCATTTCTTCCGACGTTGCAGCGTTTGTTACTTTTTTAGCCAGATGTGATTTTGGAGAAAATGAGATGTACCATCTATGAACTGTTCACTTTCCAAATGTAAGAAAACATCTTCCTGCTCGGGCTGAGAGGTTGGTGTTTGCTGCTTTAATCAAACGTCTTTAATGAACCTTGGTGGCTTTGAAATGTTGTTTTTTTTCCTTCCATCTTGTGAATGTTGTATTTATATATGAAGATTATTTGGTGACCAGCGTGAACGTTTGGTGTTTAATTTTCTTTTCTTTTGATATTAGTTACATCTTTTTCTAGAACACTGTCCATGTGTTCGTACTACAGACACGTCCTGTTACTTTCTGTTATATTGGACTCAAAAATGCAACTTGAAATGAAACTTTTTGGACATTTTTGTGTTGCAGAAAATCAAATCAACAAATTACTGAAAAAAACCATGATTTTTGCTGCTTGCCTCTTGGCTGAACGCCGTTATTAAAAGCATTGGAGTCGTGTTTCCTTTCATATCAGGATCTCCTGTAATCTGCTCGGAGAAAACCAATCAGAAGAACTTGAACATCCAAAACGTGCTGCAGTAAAACTAGGAAAGGAGGTTAAGCTCTGAGCGTGAGCACTCGGTTTGTGATTATATAATATAGTCCAGAATAAAGAGACGGACGAGGGCTCTTATCAGAGAGACGGGAGCGAGGACGGAAAAAGGGGAAGGAGAAAAGAACAAGGGATGAGTGAAGGTCAGAGGCCTGATGGGTGAAAACACAAACGGTTCATGTGTTCAGGTCAAATAAAATCAAAGGCCTCATCCTGCATCTCTCCTGCTTTAATACTGTGGTCATTACAGCAGCAGTTAACAACAGTTACTGTAAATCAATCAGCATGTGTAAAACATCTGCTTCCCTTTTCTTTAGTGAACAAAATGTCAAAATAAAAGTCCATTAAAAATCTGTAGACAATTCAGGAACAAACAACATTTCATGCAGTGAGAAGTGAATCTGTAACATATTTGATCTTTGTGTTTCAAACTCTTTTGTTTCAATGTGACATAATTTCTTTAAAAAAACAAACAAACATTTACTTAATAAGCAGAAAGTTAAAAACAAGTTATGGCACATCTGCACAGACAGCAGGTCCATGAAATGCAACAGACTCCGTTCCATTTCAGAGATGCTGAAGGATCAACTTTATCTTCCCTAAATTTATAAATAACATTTTTGGCATAAAATTCTTCACATATATTATTTTCATGCCGTTTCATGCATTTCCTAACATTTTGGCACAAGGTCCTTAATGCTGCTAACGCACTGGTTGTACTGGTTTTGTCACAGCTGTTTATCCTGATGTTTGATACTGAACTTTGTGATTTGTCGAGCAAGATAACTAGAACTCATCTGAGGAATAATCATATGAATACAGCAATTAAGACTCATTATGCAGAATATATATTCTGTACAGATCTGACAATAAATATTTGTATGGCATTGATTAATGTGAGGTGAGTAACACATGGAACTGGACAACAACAACGAAGCCTCATAAAAAGGAAGATTTCTGTTCAGGCAGTGACTAAGACACTTCTATGGGGGCGTGGGGGTGTTGAGATAATAATAAGGCAATTTAGAAAGTTGGAACAGGTCTTACTACAGTGGGGGGGGGGGGGGGGGGGGGGGGGGGGGGGCACTCAGACTAATGTTGGGATTTTTGGCACCAAAATCATAAAGTTTTGTGGGTTTACATCTTCAGTGACTGGGACAGTGGTTCCTCTTCCCTGCTGCCTGGTTTATTCATATATATTACATGTATTAATATATATCACATATGGTAATAAATGTTATATATATTAATGGAGGGAAATCTTGACCGCAGCAGCTGATCCAAATTTAAAGGAATCGTTTGACATTTTGGGAAATACTGTTTCAGCCCATTAGCTTTAGCTTAGCATAAAGACTGAAAACAGTTTAAATCTGAAGCTCACTCACCGATTCTCGTTGGTTTAATCACAAAAAACTCAAGTTTAAAAACAACAGTTTGCTGCTTTACAGAGGTTAAACGTCTCAAACCATGTTCTTCCATATGAGTCTTACTGACTGAAGTATCAGCACTTTTCCAGCCTGGGATCAGTAACTTCCTGGTGTCTCTGCTGGTTGCCTGGCAACTGATCCACATAAACACTGATTGTAAAGCTGCAAACTTCCCCACATCTGATGAACACCATGATAGTGCTTTTATAAATGTGATCTGTAACTTTAGAGAACATGCTAACATCTTAGCATAACATGTTAGCTTACAGCAGAAGAGCTCAGTCCTGGTGTTTTCAGAAGCTCTGAGTTTGAGTTCAAATATCAAACTTTCCTTTTTACTCTCCAGTTTTTGTAAGGATTCAACAAACAAGATATAATGTGCTAAGTATTGAGTTTTATAGCTGCTGGAAGGCTGATCTTGTTACCTAGGCAACCAGTGGAGACTCCAGGAAATCATTACCGCAGGTAATTTCCTGTAAAATGTCAACACTGTCTATAGATTAAACACAGAAAATACAATGTTATATTAAGTAGCTTCAGAGGTGCTGAGCTAGGCTAGCTGTTTCCCCCCACTTCCAGTCTTTGTGCTAAGCTAAGCTAAACTAAGCTGCTGCTCGCGCTAGTTTCACTTTTAACCACACAGATATGAGATATTGATCAGTTATCTGTGGTAGTGATATTGATCTTCTCATCTTACGCATGACAAGAAAATACAATTATCTGCAAATCAGCAGAATTCAAAATATCAAACTTTCTCTTTAACGATGTAAAAAATGTTCACGTTTTCTAAAGTCAGTCCAGATCAAGTGCAGAGGTCAGAGTTCACCAGTGTCACGTCACATGATTGATGAGTCACAGTTACAGTATATCAGCTACAGGAGTCATTCACAATGAGCTGCAGGAGCTACAGGTAAAACAATAACTACTGTAACAGGTGAAGGTGAAGTGTCAGGTGGATTCATTTAACTTCAAAGCATGAAGCTACAGTGTGTGTGTGTGTGTGTGTGTGTGTGAGGCGGGTGGGGAGGTAGGGCTACAGTGGTCACAGGAGGAGGCTATAGTTGCCTGATGGGGGGGAGGTTGAGGGTGTCCAGAGCGCTGTGGTAGAGCTCTCTCAACGCTCTCAACAGATACAGACGACAAAACATCTGGTTGAAGAGATGAGGCAACGGCTCCTGGAGGAAGAGGGAAAGAAAGACGGAGAGAAATTACCCATAATTCTGTGGGAAAAGAAAGAAAGTGCATCTGCTAAATAAGTCACTTCCTGTCACAACAGAAGACAAAGCAGATGTGTCACCACCAGTTTCCTTTTTCTTTATCTATTTGATAACTGCTTTTACTTATTTGCATGTATTTGTTTATATATGTATATATGTATATGTATATGTATGTATATATTTGTGTGTATATAATTTAATCCATTTTTTCCCTTTTCTTTATTTGATTATCAATTTATTCTATTAATAATTATATTGTATTTTATTATATTGCAACACAGTGAAAATGTCAGGCCAATTAAGCCTGTTCAACTGAAACTGAAACCAGAGAAGAAGAAGGGGAATATGGTGAAAGCATGTGTGGAGTTAAAAAAGAGAAAAGGGAAAGAGAGATTTAAAGAGAGAGACACATAAAAGATAAAAAATGGCTGACTCGACAGTGAACTGTGTTTTTGTCTTGGTCAGTAATCACATTCTGTCGTTGACAAAAAGTCACCAGACCAGGCGACTGACTGTTAATACACTAATCTCCATATGGTGTAGACAAGGAAGGGATCGCACGCTCGCACGCACGCACGCACGCACGCACACAAATAAATGATGACACATATTCATCTACACAAACAGACTCAGGCTACGACCACAGCACTACGTTTTCATTTTTAAACTCATCTCTTTTCCTACGTTTACTCCTGCTACACGACCCCAGAGTTTCTGAGCCCCGAAGACTGAGACGCTGCAGAGGAGACAATCTACTTCCTGTTTACACTGGCCGTGTGTTTTCAGGTGTGATAATGTAGACGGAGATAGATTTCGTTTGAAAATGAAAACACAGTGTGTGGACGTATCCTCAGGAGAACTTAAGTGAATAAATCAGGCCATTAACACAGACACAGGACCAGAGTGTCTCCTCACCCCGAGCACGTGGACTCTGTTGTAGTAGGAGCTGAAGTCTTTACTGAGAGACACCAGAAACTTACAGATCTGAGGAAACAAGCACATTCATGAGTCACATCAACCTCTCCACAGCAGGATCTGAACCTTAATGAGCACTCATCTGTTCCTCTAAACCCTCATACCTGTTCAGTCTTAATGTTGACTCTGGCTCCTCCCCCTTCTCCGTCCAACACTTGTCCCGATTGGTCCAGCAGCTCGGAGAAGGGAATGAGGTAATTGAACAGGAGGAGCCACTCGCCCTGTCAGTCGCAGAGGACACAGGAGGAAAGGTTGATGAGAGAAGGTAATAAAGACACAGTTTATGGTTTATAACATATTACTAATGGAGAGAAATGAAAACAAAGGGAAACAGATGAACACAACACAGACCACAACAACACAGCTGTAAAATAAAGAGGTACCTCCTCTTTCAGAGCAGAGAAGTCCAGCTGGGAGCACTCAGGGATTTCTGGGTACAGACCTGCAGATAAACATGTGGATGCACAGATCAATGTGTGATCAAAGATGTTCACTGCAGTTTTATGATGAAGGACACTTGAACTCCTCTGTTGGAACCACTGATGCAGAGTATTTATTTTACATTTAACTCAGGCTGTGACTTATCAAAGAACCTCCTCACAGCTGCTGGACTTTCCAAACTGTCCAAAAACATATTGATTTTCATTTAAATCTCTTTGTTTTCCATCCGGAGGCGAAGGTAAAACTGCCTGGACACAGCGCTCTGCGTTATTGGTTGTTTGTATGTTAATCAATGTTATTGATCGGAGAAGAATGAAACGTGAATCTCACCCTTCTCCACTCCTCTCTCGTAGCTGTCAAACAGAGTGTGGAGTCTAGCGCAGTTGTACATCACAAACACTCCTCCCCTCGGCCCTTTGGTGGACACACCCCCTTCCCTCTGAACGTCCAGTGTCACCTGTGATTTATCCAGTCAAACATGTTGGAAAGATTCAAACTGGATATTGATTATAAGTGTGATTTTTGTGTATTTCCCATCTATTTTTTCATTGTATATATAAAGAATGTTCTGGATTGATGTGGCCCACTTTCTGAAAAAGAATCTTAAAGTGAAGAGTGAAATAGTTCTGTTTGATGTAATGCTAGATTTCCGTCAAGAAAAGATTGAAAGCAACATGTTGTATGTAATAAAGCTTTTTATTCTTTTTGGAAAATTCATAAGAAAAAATGGTAAAAACTTTCCTGCACTTTATCAGTTAATCTAAACAATATAAACTTTATGTCAGACTGTAAAACTGTTGAATGAATATAATGTGCTGCAGATAACAAACTCTGGCTTTGTCATTGTCTTTTGTTTTATTGTTTTATTGTGTGTGTGTGTGTGTGTGTGTGTGTGTGTGTGTGTGTGTGTGTGTACCATGAATGTGTGTATAATAAAGAAAGTGAAAAAAGGCCAACACTCAGCTGTAATAACTCACAGGACTAGTGTGGACTGTCGACAGCAGTTCAAATCTGACAGTGGCAGAGGTCATGACCCTGATGATGTCATCCCATGTCTGACCTATAGGAGGACGAGGAGAAAGTTTATTCAGTTTCATAAGTACACACACACACACACACACACACACACACACACACACACACACACACACACACACACACACACACACACACACACACACACACACACACACCTTCTACTTGATCTCCGTACTTCATCTCTGACGCCTCCTTCATCTGTCCTCTTCTCAGCCTGGAGAGAGAGGACGACACATTCACACAGGCAGCTGGGCTAAAAATAAACTGATAACACAGAGATGATGAGAAGATCCATCAACGCCCACCACTCCTCTTTTCATCACACTGAGGGCTGACCCTCGTTTTCAATGATGCTGAGATTACAAGAGCAGAAAGAAACAACCAGAAATACAAGAATCAGTTCCTGATAAAAACAATTACATTCAGGAACGTTATGATTTCAAAGATTTAAAAACACGTTTCTAAACTGTCCCAGTGTTTCCAGGGAATCGATATTTAAAGTGAGTTGTAGGTTATTCCTTGAGTCTGGAGCAAAATCTAAAAGGTCATAGTTCACCTGAGGAACATGCAGTGATCCAGTCCTGAGAGCAGGGTTACTGAGCACCTACACTCTCTCATAGAGAGAGGAACATACAGAGTGTAGTGATGGGAGCTGTAGGAATCTAAACAGCATCTCAGGGTTTAAGGGTGGTGACAGCAGCATGTCTATATATGACAACACCTATGACATCACCATCACCAACAACAATGTACATGGGAGAGTAGGTTCTATTTCTATACAGGAAGTTTCATCTGCAGCTTTTTCACCACAATGTCCACGTGAACTTTAAAAGTAAATTCATCTCTCCAGATTATAATGCTGGACTCCTCTGGTCTCGGTAAGTAAAGTGCTAATCCGATATCTTTGGAAAACAGAATATATTTTGTTTTATCAGGATTTAGCACGAGTTTAAGAGTGAGTTCCTCTTCAAGAGCATTTTAATTTAGTTTAATTACAACTGTAATTTGACAGAGAGGATCCCCGTCAGAGTGTCTCTAGTCATAGTAAAGATGTGTCTGGTGGAGAGCTGGGGAGGGAACAGAGGAGGAGGAGAGGAGGAAGAAGAGACAGGGAGGACGAGTGGAGACAACAGAAGGATGAAGAAAAACAGGAAACCTAAAGACAAAGAGAGAGATGGTGAAAGGAGATGAGACGTGTCTTACTGCAGGTACTGAGCAGCAGTGAGGTGACAACCAGGAGTCTTCACCGGCCCACCAACACCACATCTCTCTCCACACACACACACACACACACACACACACACACACACACACACACACACACACACACACACACACACACACACACACACACACACACACACACAGTAAGAATAGAAACATAATGCAGGGCATGATTGTTTTTGTGTGTGTGTCTGTGTGTGGTTACCTGTGTGTGTGTCGCTCCACTGGCTCTCCACAGCATTGCTATCTGCTGCTGGCGGAACTCATCCTGACAGGAAGTCACATGTAATGCTGTTGCCACGGCAACCTATGAAAGAAGCAGCAAGGAGGTACAAGAAAAAGTAAATGATTTGTTTGTTATTTTTAATAAGAAAAAAGTGTCAGTGTGTGTGTGTGTGTGTGTGTGTGTGTGTGTGTGTGTGTGTGTGTGTGTGTGTGTGTGTCTCACTGTGCAGTCGGCTGTGGTCAGGTCCAGCTGTGCCAGGTGTGAAACACTGTCCCTGTGAACTGAAACAGACACACAGCACAGACTCTGTTACCTGAAGCTGTGATGTCACACGAAACATGGACACATTCTTAAAGCAGCAGCTGATAGCAGTGAGCGTGGAACCTGTTAGCTTAGCTTAGCATGCAGATTGGAACCAGGAGGAAACCGTTAGCCTGACTCTGTCCTAACCATCTCTGAAGATCTCTAACTAACATGTCGTGTCTCCCTTGTTTAATGTGTGGAGAAACATGAATGTAAAGGAAGTTACTGACTCTGCCTACAAATGGTTTGAGTATTTACGTCCCTGTGAAACCACATGTTTTGTTGTTGTTTCTGAAATCTCTCATTTACCAAAGTAAACAACTAAGAGTCTTAATTGAGTTCTTTGTTGAAGCTTCTTGGTTAAGACTCTACAGGGTTCACACATCTGGATTTGGCTCATGGTTCTTCCCGTTCTACCTGGAAGATCCTCTGGTGATTTCACAGAACTGGACGGAGGGAAATGAATCTGAATTTAGCTAAATGTAGTTTTTTAAACGGCTGCTCTCAGAGCCACCGCACAGACCAGACACAAAGTGACTGTGTTTCTGAGCGGACATTTTCCTTTATCGTGACCTTCATTAGACAAAGCAGCAGGAGAAGAGGAGGCTGTTTTGTTTACATTAACATTTTACATAAAGCTTGAACAAAGACTGATGTTGTTGCTTTTGGTCGTTATGGAAACAAAGTGCTTTTCACAAAAACTGTTCTCTTCACAGAATACAAAATAACTGAGAAACACACAAACACACCCTCATTATGTAACCATCAAAAATCAACAGTATAACAGTATCCGTACCTGTGCAGGTACCAAGGCTGGGGTCGTATCCCAGCAACCCCTCCTCCTGGAATACTCGTTTCAGGTTGACCCTGAGCACTCCCTCGTTCTCCCCCTCCTCCACCTTCCTCCCTCCCCCTCCGCTCGTCCTCCTGCCTCTCTCCGTTTCCCGCTCTCTGTATGGGCAGTTCTCCAGCGCCTCCTGGATCTTCTCCTCCCGCTCCTCGTTGGTCCAGTTGGCAGGAGCTGTCGGCCAATCGATGCCCAGAGCCTGGAGAAAGGCGATGATGTCGCTGTCTTCGGGAAGGGTGGGGCAGTAGGAAACTGTAAATCTGAGACAGGTGAGGAGATTCGAATCAGCATGTTACACCTGTGACTGCAACAAACAATGATTTTCATAAGAAGTTCACCTGTCTGTTACTTTTGTCATTAACTGATCAATTATTGAATCTTATAAAAGTCAGAAAATATTGAAAACTGCTCATTAAAGTTTCCCGGAGTCCACGATCACACTTTAAATTTATTTATGATGAGAATAAAACGAGGGAAGTGGATGTGGTGGATTTAGGAATTAGCTCTCGGACTCACCCCTGTCCTCTCAGCAGCGCCCCCATGTGGTCAGCCAACAGAACTGTCCTCAGCTGGCCCAGAGTCAGCGTCTCAGGGGTGGGTGTGTTGGGTTTAGGGTGTAGCGCGGGGCAGTTGATCACCACACAGCCCTGCCTCTGACTCGGGGGCTTCAGGTACTCTGTGGCTCCACCCGCCAGAACGGCCCTGAAGGATGCAGCCCGGTCCACCCTCACCCTCAGACCCTCACCCATCACCTCCCCACCGGCCACAGGCAGAACCCCGCTGCCCCGGAGGGACAGGACCCTGGACATCACTGCTGGAGGGACCTGGGTGGAGACGGGGAGAGATCAGAGAATGAGACGAGGGGAAATCACCTGAACTTCAGGTACTGACATGTGTGGTCTGACACAGTGAACTGATACTGATATGTCAATTAATCCTTTCATTATTAGAATTATAGCAAATGTGTTTGATCTATGGTTGTTTATTTATTCTTATTATCATTAATTTGATTTAACCTTGATTTAATCAGGAAGTCTCATTGAGATTAAAATCTGATTTTCAAGAGAGAGAACAAGAAGCAGTCACAAGAGACATTCAACATCACAACTAAACAACAGAGGAAACGTCATCTCTAGTCTGAGGGCAGTTTCCAGTTCAGTCCAGTGTTAGTGTGAACATGAGAGATGTGGAGGGTGAAGTAGTTACTGGATTTAAATGAGAGAAGAAGAAGCTCTAACAGTGACAGTGGTTATTTTGTCTTGACTGCAGTGAGGTCCAGCCCACGGTGTGACATAGAGAACAATGACGAGTGCAGTATTTATTTGTGATTTGTGATAAAGCGTGGAGCACTATGATTCTTCGTGTGTTTTCGTGCCTTCTCGTTTCCTGGCAGCTGCGCGTGTCGGTCTGACCCATATTGTACCTGCCACTCATGGGTTAATAATTACCGCCGCAGGCTGCCAGTGTCTGGTCGATCATGATGGAGCGATGTCAGCGGACTCCAGGTGTGTGTGTGTGTCTGTGTGTGTGTGTGTGTGTGTCTGTGTGTGTGTCTGTGTGTGTGTGTGTGTGTGTGTGTGTGTGTAGCATGTCACTCAAACATATTAGTGAATTATAGTTTGTAGTTTGTGTTTATTTAATATTTGCTCTCTTGTTTTTTCAGACAGGCAGTTGGGATCAGCTGAGCGGTATAAGCAGATAGTTCCGGTCCTCTGCTCCTATTGGCCGAGTCACGTTCGAAACGGTTGAAAACACCTCCGGCCATTTAAATATTCAGGTCAATTCAGTTGCTTTATTAGCATCAGTGTCAGATTAACAATATTTGCCAAAGCGTCCAGTATGATACAATATTCACTAATGGCATGAGAGTAAAATATTATGGTTATTTATTATTATTATTGCGCTAAACAGATTCACTCGCGCCCTAGCTAACAGGATTCGCTCAGCAACTGTCGAGGAACTATACTGTTTAGCGGAAGAATAAAATGTAGACTTTCCTAGCGTAAATAGTTTAGCGTGTAAACTAACGTTAGCCGTGTTGCTACCGTTTAATGAGCGTCCAGCGGTGATGGTGACGTTAATAATATTAGCTTCCAGCCGTTAGCTCTCCCCGGAGCAGCTAGCGATAAAAAATACCGCGAAATGAGCGTTAAAGCCGTTAAAATGCTGCTAAACCCAACAGGTATCAGTCACACCGACCTGTCCGTCCGCATACAGCGTGTTGAGCATCGTGGTCGGCGACAGAAAGTCCCGGTTCCGCAGGTTTTTCGCGCTGCTCTCCTTGAACCAAAGCTTCTCCTGCTCGGGGAAGATCCTGTCGCCGTGTCCGCGGCTCGAATCGGGGACATTCTCTGGCTTCCCCCGCAGTGCGGAGCTAAGCGCCCGGACGGTAGGTGTGATCCGGAGGGGCGAAGGCTCCTCGATGTTCTCCATCACCTCCACCCTGACACAAACAAGCAGGTGAGCTTGGTCCCGGGGTCTCAGCACATCCACACCCTGCACATGTCTACTGATGAACCGCGGTCACGCTGGTCGGTGCTGAGGCAGGCCGCCGGATCACAGGCGATAATCCAGCCGCACGGCTGATCACTGATCGATATTGACTGTAGAGGAGGACTGCATTGGCCGATTTGCTTCTGCGGAACTAGTGAAGTGCAATCTGTGTTTCTGACGAGTGGATTTCCGTGTTGGACCAGTGGGATGTCACTAATAGCGCCATCCAGTGCACGGCAGAGTAACTGCAGTCGTAACGACATGGCCAAAAGTATGTGGACAGATACCGTCTGTGCAATCAATCAATCAATCAATCAAACTTTATTTGTACAGAACATTTCGTACAGGTTAGTGTAGTTCATTCAGATGACTGATGAGCAAAAATAAAAAGGGACAAATCAAGTGAGAAAGCTGAGAGACAGTAAAATAGATAAAAAAAAAGCTGTAATAAATTTAGCAAAAAGAACATTTAATTATAAAATACATTTTAGATCATAAATACAATAAAATAAGTGAACAAAATAAAGTGACTAATGACTTAAAACCCATATTTAACGTTTTGAGTCTATTCAACACCTCCAGCTGCTCTGCAGGTCAGGCTCGGCTCTAATACTTTATACAAGTACTGAATCCAGACATTCCTGTGTTGGTTGTAGAACTTAGAGTTGTTTATACTGTAACTGTACCTGAGCAGTGAAGATTTCTGTGGAAAACATAAACTGCCTTTATTATAAAGAGTAAATATTTCTCGAGCTGCATGCCCTGAACACTGGTTTGTTCATACTGTGTCACTGTGTTTTTATATATATATATATATATGTGTGTGTGTGTGTGTGTGTTTGAAGGCAGTCATAGAGAGTAATCGCTAGAGATCATTTCTTTATTTTATATACAACTCATCTACATATCATGTTAATTACAGTTTTGAGTTTGCAAACGTAAGGATATTAGACATACCAGACACATATAAACATAGATCAATACTATAGTATTGCCTATAGTCACCTAAATGTCATGCGTGATATAAATGTGTGGCGTTAAGTGCAAATACTGTTTTGTCCTCAATGTTTACACTTTAATGTGTAAACATTTAATTAATGTGTAAACATGAACGTGTCCAGTTGTGTGTATTTGAACGTCATGTCTGATCCAGATGAAAGCAGCGGTGTGCGGTGCAGCTTTAACCCGCGGACAGGAGTCAGTCAGCGGCTCTGTGTGTCTCCACCTCCGCTGCCGGATTCCTGTCGGAACAATGAAGCCGCCATTCCGCCTTCGTACCGTTTATACAGAACGGAGAGGCGGAATAACGGCGCAACATTCCCGCCTCGACGGGCTGTGTAAAAGGGTCTTTTCTCTGAGCGCTTCTTCTTCCGGCTCAGAAATGTGACGTAAAGGGCACAAATACACAAGGGAAGTCTTTGTAGTAAGTTGAGACGCTTCAGCTGCAGCGTTTTCACCAGAGAAGAAGAAGAAGATGCACAACTGGCAGGAGAATGAGATCAAAGAACTTCTGAACATCCGGGGGTCGGAGGCCATCCGAAACCAGATCACGGGCACGGTGAAGGACTCTGTGGTCTACAACAGGATGACCAAACTGCTGGCGGAGCGGGGGGTGTACAGGTCACACATGCAGGTGATCAGCAAGCTGAAGGCGCTCAGGAAGCAGTACATCAAGTACCACCAGCAGAAGACCCGCTGCGGGACCGACCGCGTCGACTGGCCGTTCTACGACCAGTGCCACCGGGTGTTCGGGAACGGCCCCGCGGTGAACCCGGTCAAACGGCAGAGGAGTCCCACACCGCCACCTGCATCCTCACCCCCCCCGCCACTGCCTCCCTCTCCTCCGCCTCCACCGCCGCCGTCAGCCCTCAGCGACGACCACCAGGAGGTCGTCGTCGGCCTCTGGGACGAAGTGGACAAACATCTGGGTCCAGTGGAGCCGGACGACGAAGAGGACCAGTACAGCCCTTCAGAGCCGCTGCACACCAGCAACACCAGTAAGAACATGAGTTATGATCCAGAGGAGGAGACACCTGGAGGACCTGTAAGGTCCCAGGTACCACCAGGGACTGGAGTTATCAAATCTGAATCCAGAATCAAATCCACTCACAGACTCCAGATTCTTTCAGATCAAATAATAAATCAGCTGTAAGTAACAAAAGTTATAGAGAGCTAGAAGAACATCTCAAAGACTGACAGGCTAAGAATTATACTTGTAGTTTTAAAGAGAGGTGACATATTTAGTTAACGTGTTGTTAATAAAACATTGGGAGACGATGAATTATTCTATAAGAGACTTGTTAGATGTCAGATTATCGAGTGTTTTCCAAATTAAAAGCAGACTGACTGTAGAACCAGCTGTTGAGCAGCTGTCAGTTTGACTGTCTTCATACACAGAAATGTGTTGGGTTCCTGCATCAGTGTCTGTGTGGAGTCCTGCGAGCAGCACACAACAATATGACATGACATCCGTTCTCAGCAGAAGCTGAAACAGAGCTGGTGGTTACTGACTCTGACAGACAGAGCCCATGTTTCAGTTTTAAAACCTTTTTAAACTCTGCAGAGAAGAACGAGGAAGTTACAACTTCATCTCTTCAAAACATTTTAAATTAAAATCTGTTGTTGTTTGTTTTGCATAAATTCTTACAAGACAATGTAATGATGAAAAAGAGTCATGGTTTAAATCAGAGGTACAGCTCCTCACGTCTTTATATCACTGGTCACATTTATTCACTTACTGTATCAAAACTCTCAAACTTATCTCCAAATCAGATCAATAGGATCATTTAACAAGTCATTGAATATCAACATCCAAAAACGTCTCACATCAGACTAAAATCTGAGTCATGTTTCAGTCAGACCTGAACACAGACTTCAATGAATCTGATTAGAAACCAGAGAAGAAGAAGTGATAGTTGTCAGTTCATCAATGGTTCAGAACAAACAGGAAGTTAAAATGGAAAATTCACTACACTTCATTTTCTAACATGTAAACAAACATGGGCGAAAACAAAAACAGGGCTAAAGTTGAAGCCACAGTTTAATGCGCTGTATCCATGGCAACATGTTTCCTGTTTGTTGGAAATGTTTATATCTTCTGTTATCAGAGGAGAGGCTGTCACTGCAGGAGGCCTACAGCTGATCTGGGAGCTGTGAGACACCTGTTGGACACTCCTGGTTTAAAGAGTCGAAGCAGGAACTTTTCCCCTGACGGACGCAGTTATAGTTATTATAATGTTACGTGCAGCGCAGAGTTGGTCGTCAGTGTGTATCAGCTAGTTATCATTGGTTCAGGAGGTGTAACCTTTACCATGATGAAAACACAACGTCGCTGCTTTATTTAAAGTCCAGGTTGATGAAACAGTAACGTGTCTCTGTCCCATCTCTGACCAGCTGCTCTGTCTTTGGTTTTGTAGCGTTCAAGGTCCCGTCCAAGAAGAAGAAAACGACAGTGATGGAGCAGGTCTCGGCTTTAGTGTCGGCGACAGTCGCCCAGCTCAGAGAGATGGACGCCGCCATGCAGGCGCAGGAGGACGCCCGGCTGCAGAGGCTAATGGACCATGAGAGGGAAATGCAGAACAGTCTAGTGAGTCAGCTGGTAGCCATGCATGAACGCATCAGTCGAGAGAACCACGAGAGACACCTGGAACTGGTGGACACGATACTCTCCAGGTTCCCCTCGCCTTCAGGCCGCTGACCGGCTCTTCCTGTGAGAGCGGCGGCGGCGGTGGCAGCGTACAACAGGGTTATTCACTCTGACTCTCCGACAACTGACCAGTGCCTGAGCCACATTACTTTTATTTTCACTGTATGTAGAAATAATTCACTGAGATCACCTTTAACCTTTAACCTCAAACAGATCTGAAACAGATTCAGGTTCAAACCAGGTCACGCTCTCACTCCAGGCCCTGACGCTCTGACTCACTGCTCCTCTCTTCATCTGTTCTCTTAACCGTAGACACCGTACTGTACCACACTGTACTGTACCACATTACATTACACTGTACCACACCACACC